GGAGGAAGCAGTCTCCGCAGCTACGGGGGCTGGTCTGGCCATGCCAGAACCAGGAGGCAGAGGAGGTGTGGGGAATTGGAGTGTCTGGAGCCCTAGGTGAGGACACGATTCCCTCCTCTGTGGCAGGACACAGTGGCTGCCCCTTCTTTAGTCTGCACAGCCTCTGTGCCAAGACACATGTGCCTCTGGTCCATCCCCTACCATCCCCAACTAGTTCTCCAGGTACAGGAGTGTCCATGACTGAATTGAATTTCCCAATGCCAAGCCTGCTTTTCCACCCCATTTCATCTCCCTCCCCTGCCCCCCCAAAAAAACAAAACCAAAAACTAAAACAAAACTCCAGTATGGACTTGTACAGGGCTTGACAATTTAGAAATCCCTGAGGAAACATTCAGGTTGGACTTCATGAGCAAGCAGATGGGAAGGACTAGGGCCTGCCTTGGAGGGGGGAAACCACTTGTCAACCTTGACTTTTTGTAGCATGAGTATAATATTCCTCAAGAGCTGTGATGGTGAAATGAAGAAAATGTCTATGGAGGGCCAGGGCTGTTTCTCATGAAGCCTATTGCCCAAGAGTCAGGGTTAGGATCAGCTGGTTAGCTTGGACCAGTACATGTGACCCCTTCCACCCACCAGAACAGGGTTTTGGGTGGTGAGGGAAACCAAAGACTTGGAAGAGAAGGTGGTTCTTTCCCTCAAGCTTACAGTCTATGGGGAGAAGAACAAGTCGTGTTTGTGAAGCAACCCAATCACAAGGCCAGTGTTACAAGCTCAGATTCGATAAAGATGCTGTGAGGGAGAGAGTCAGCAAAGAGTCAGGGCTCTGCTTCAGCAGGGAAGCCTAGTGCAGGATCCTTCTGAGAGTAGACTTAGTGGCCAGTCTGAGGCAGGGCTGAGCTCAGGCCATGAGGTTGGTGAGCTTGACCCTGGTAGGCAGCCATCATCAATGTGCCTTGGAGCTGCTTCAGAAGCACCTGAGGAGAGAAGCTGCCAGCCCATCTTCCCTTTTGGAGGAATGAGTCTGGGGAATTTGGTCCCTCCCTTTCAAAGTCGCCCGCATCAGTCCCTTCTCAGGCTCTCCCAGAAAATAGCATCAAGTCACTCAGTCAGTAAGCACTGCTTCTCATTCCTTCTTTGGGGAATTTCCAGAATTACTCAAGTCAAAGGCTTTGAGGATGTCTCGGCGCAGTGAGCGCCTGCGCCTCCGTTACCAGGCACTTGGTGATGGAGGCAACAGCAGCAGCAGCAGAAGCAGCAGCAGCAGTGGAGGGAATTCCCAGGTGGCTGAGCAGCACACCAACCGGAGGGAGGGTCCCCTCAGGTAAGAGGAGCCAGAGGAGACTCAGCTGCCTTCTCCATCACAACTCCCCAGGGCAGCCAAGGGCCTTGGCTGCTGCCATGTGCACACTTCTTTCCTGCCCCCAGTTTTGATAGACACTTCACTCTACTGCTTGCTTTCCCCCCAAACCAGAGAATTTCCTCTCCCCCTGTGGTCCCACCCTTTGGCTGCTGCTGCCTTCTCTTTCTGAGAACAGCAACTGAGGAGGGGCAACTTTGAGCATAGAGAAGGCTGGAAACCCTGAGGCCTGAAGCTGGGCAGGGAACAACCCCACTCAGCCACAGATCTCTTCTCCCTGGCCCGAAGGCCCATGCTTCTTAGGGTGAAGCCAGGTGGGTGAAGGGCTGTGGGTGAGGAAACATTTTCAGCTGATTCTTGGCTCCCCTGATACCTCATCCTGGTGGTTTCATGTGGAAAGAGTCCCCCTCCCCCGGCCCATGGTAGCTGTGGCTTGCTTTAATTCTGCCTCCCACATGAAAAATTATTCATCTCTTTAAGGAGAAGAACAGCAAAAGAGAGCTTTGGCTATCATTTCTTTTCATCCTCGAAGTCTCCAGCAAAGTCTCATTGCCCCTTCCATTTCCTTCTCACCTGTCCTCTTTTTCACCCTCTTCTCTTTGCTCTTCATGCTTGCTGTCTCCCAGGACTCTGAGGAGGAAGTCCAGTAGGGTCAAAGGCTTCTCACCAGGCCTCTCACCAGCCCCTCATCTGGCCCTGTACACCTGTAACACCCCTGAATCCTCCTCAGGGTACTTCTCTGAGGATGACTCTGCATGTAGGCATCACTTCTTCTGCCCTGGAGGCCCATTCCCCAGGCGCTGCCCCACTTCCTTCAAAGGGTGCCCCATAGCTGGGGGTGGAGCAAGTATCTCTCAGATAAGAGGAAGAGAGAACTCTGCAGTCTGGCTCCAGTTGGGGGATTGAAGGGTGGAGGGGGGGCTCAGGCCTCAGACATGGTTGTCTCTCCTTCTGGGTGGATGCTCATTTCTTCCCTTCCCTGCAGGGCACTCCGTTATCCACCAGCCTGGCTCTGCATCCACCTCCAATAATGGTGCCTCCCAACTTGGCATCTTTAACTGGATGGCAATATACATTTCAGGTGGGTTGTACCAGGGGGTGGCCACAGTGCCCAGGGGAGTGGTGCTTCACTGTACCGAGAAGAGTTTCTTCATGCCTATGCAGGGCCAAGCTGGGCCAGGGTGGAGTAACTTGAGGACTCTATGGGGAGATGGGCTTATTATGGAAGGATCCCCAAGCACAGCTGAAGAGCTCTGGGAGGATGGAAGAGCAGAATAGCCAGAAGCAGCTGCAGAGTTGGCATGCTGGGAGACGACTAGATCTGGGAAAGGATGGGCTGGCAGGGGCACGCCTTTGAATCCCTCTGCTGGAACCTTTACAGGTTGGCTCTTTGCAGCATTCCAGTGGTGCCTGGGAAACGCCTGGCACTGCCTGACCACAGCTGCCTCCCTCCAGGATTTCTTTCTGTTAATCAGGTCAGTGAGGCCTCCCTGGGGCCTGTCACAATCTAAGATCCACTGCTCCAAGGGACTCCACAATCCTCCAGGTCAATTTCCCCTTAGGCTTTGCCCTGTTCCTTTTCAGCTTTTGGAGACTTTTACTCAATGAATCTTATGATAGACTCAGGTCAGGGCCAGGAGTGTGCTGGGACCAGCTGCAACCTGCTCCTGAGAGTCAGCTCCCAATTAGGGCTTCGTTGAGTGTCTCCACTGAAGAAGATGATGGGAGAAAAGGGTTGTGTGTGCCTTGACCTCCTCCAGAGCTGGTTGTTGAACATTTAGCAGCACTCGCCTGCCCGCATTCCTCTTGCTTCTTCAGGGAAGTGGGTTGGCTCTGACTGCAAGTGGGACTCTTGTCTTGAGTATCTTTTAGGAGCTCTCCCCTCAGTAGTTCCTGCCTCTGATCACAACTGAGTCTGGTGAGTTCACTTCTGCTAGTCTGAGGGTCCTGAGTTTGCAGGGACACTCCCTCCTTTGGGGTTCCAATCCAGAATTTTCTGCCCAGTCTTCCAGGTCTCCAGGCCATGCTTGCAGTTTCTCTGTGGAGGAGCATGGGCAGGTCTCCAGGCTGCCTCCAGGGCTGAATCCAGGAGCCTCTAGAGCAGGGGTGGGGAACCTGAGGCCCCAGGCCACATGTGGCCTTCTAGGTGCTTCGGTGTGACTTTTGAACTGAGTCCAAGTATGACAGAATCAATCCTTTGCGGAAGGGGATTGATTGTGTGAACTCTGGCCACAGTGGAGGACCTAGTGGACCACATGTGTCCTCGAGGCTGGCAGGTGTCCCAGGCCTGCCCTGGATTCTTGCGACCCTAGGCTGGGCCAATGGTGACCAGCCAGCCTCAGCAGGGGTCCCTCCTGCAGCTCTTCCGAGTCCAAATGGACAAGCAATGTAAGGACTTAGACAAGAGAAGACTGCCTAATTCATGAGCAGCACATTAATGTAGTTCTGATGGAGGCCTGATAGGGAAACACCTTCCACTGCACCTGTCAAAGGGCAGCATGTCCCTTTGCATAACAACATGAGCGCCTTTTGGAAAAGCCAAGTTTTCTCCTTCTACTTTACCCCAAGGGTTGTCCATACAAGCCCAGTTCTCCACTTCCTGGGTACCCAGTGGCAGGGAGTGGAGGTGGGAGGGGGAAGAGTGGGCACACCCTTTTGGTTGTTCCATTTGCCACTTAGGGAGGGTCTGCCAGCAGCCAGGGGTGGTGAAGGGCAAATGCTAACATCTCCTCCTTCATTCCTATGAAATGCAGGAGCTTTTTCACTCGGAAGAAGTTGCTCCTCTTTGTCTTGGGGATGCTGTTCTTTGTGGCTTCGCTGGCTTATGGTGAGCCTTGTGGAGTGCCCAGGTCGGCCACTCCAGATGGGGGCGAAGGACAAGGGTTTGGGGACAGGGCCTTCAAAGTTTGGAAGGGAGATCGTTGAAGGGGAGCCTTTAGGGAGCCAAAGGGACAAAAGCCCTGGGAAAAGGGACCCAGGCCACATATGGGCAAGCTGTCCTGCCTCAAATGTCAGAGTTCTGTCCTGTCTCTCCTTCTCCTCTCCATCTAATCCAACAAACCTTTATTGTGTAGCTTGTGTATGCTGGCCTCAGAGCCTCATGCTGCAAGGTCAGGGTGGCTGTGCCACCCACCTTGAGCATGTCAGGGGCATGGAGGTAATTTATCTGTGCCTTCAGTGGTCCCTGACCCGGCACTTGAGGGTGAGGGATTGAGAGAGGCGCTGAATCAGGAAGGAATCTATTATCTGAGGAAGACACACAGCCGATGCCAGGTCTGGAGGGCTTTGCCCCTTCTCATTGGTGAGAACACACAGGCCAATAGAAACAGGCATGATCCCAGAAGGGCTGGGCTCTTGGTCGGGAGACATGACATCACTCAGTCCATACTGTGAGATCAAGTCCAGCTCAGGAATGACGATACCACATGCAGATGGTCACCAGAGGCTGTCTGCAGTCAGCCTCTCTACAGAGAGCGTTCTGGTCCTCATTCAAACGGGACAGGGCATTGTGTTGACCAGACTTGGGACCAGAAAGCAGCCCTTGTGGCTTCAGTCTCCATGTCCTCTCCCAGCTGAATCTCATCCCTCATTGTTGCCATCATCCAAAAGTATTTAATGACTTCTTAGAGGATCCTGAGAGAGGGATCCCTTTCCTGAAGGCTCTTGGGATGGAAGTGGCTCTAGCCATAGCCTTCCAGATCATGGGGCCCCTAGCATATCTGCCTTCCTTAGGCTGGGATCCTAGCTCACATCGACGTGACACTGCCATACTCAGGCTGGATGGAGGTCCTCACCCTAGACTTCTTGCCCTTCTGACACCTCAGCCTCCGTCTCAATGAGCCTTTTCTCCCGTGTGCTAGGTGCTTGGTGTTTCTACCCCTATGGACTACAGACCTTCCACCCTGCTATGCTCTCCTGGTGGGCAGCCCGTGGTAGCAGCAGGAGAGAGGACAGGTGGGAACCAGCACAGTCCCCCTCATATTTCCAGGTGAGTGTCCAGCTGAGTGTCTAGAACGCTTCACGCAAGATGGGCAGACAACTCGCTCACAATCCACTTCATTCCTCTCAACCCAGTGTGGGAGCCAGGATCACAGTTCAAGCTTTGCCACTTGCTGCCGTTCAGACCTTGGGCAATTCAATGTCAGTCTCTCTAAGACTCAGAGCTCATCACTGCCCCCCCTTCAATTGAAATCAGTTGCCTTCCACTAGAGGCCTTCCCTAGCACCTTGTCACACAGTGGGGTGACCCTGGGAACCCGAGGAGTCTCCACAAACTTTCCAGCACAGCCCAATCTAGCAGACTTTACTAAGCTGGAAAGACGTGAAGGCCATGTGCAGATCATGTTGGCTGCCCACCAGAAGCTTATCCACCAGGTGATTTGATATGTGGAGCCATGATGACCTTGCAGGCAGATAAAAAGGTCAAACAATAACAGAAAAAAACCCCAATTGATGGAAAACTTTAGACATACATAAATACATATACCCACACACATATATATTTATATGTATGTCTATCTATATCTTTATCTATATCGATATATCTATATATAGAGATATATATCTATATATCTCTATATATATTTATCACTGATTGGAAAGGGTAGTTTCTCGTTTTTCTTTCATATCACCACCTTTCTCAATATAGCCTTTCCATCTCCCCCTCCCACAGAGTCATCCCTTAAACCAAAGTATTAAACAAGACGGGAAGAAAATAGTTCAGGAAAACCAACCAAGTCAACAGCGGAGTCCTGCTTTCTGTGCAGATTCCATGGCAGTAGACTCCCAGCCCAGCATTGAAGGGAAGGGAAGAATGTCCTCCTGGAAGATCTTTGGGGCCATGCTCCAGCGTGATCTTTTCACAACATTTGGTTTCAGATGTTGGTTATTCACTCCATTTACATGGTTGTCTGTGGTGCTTGTTTATCTTGTACTCTTCATTGATTTCTTTCACTTTGCCCCAGTTCATGTAAGTCTTGTCGTGTGTATCTTTCAACACAAGAGTTGTGTTTCTTGTAGCATCAGAATATTTCATTGTATACATAAGCCACAGTTGGTTTAGCCATGCCCCTGTGTATGGGTATTGACTTTGTTTGCTACAAAAGAACTTTCTTGGTGGTTGGATTGGGATAACATGGAATAAGTAAGTTAATTTCGGTACTTTTGTCACTTTGATTCTATTGCCTTGACTTACCCCTGAGCAATGAATATGTCTCCAATTGTTGAGATCTCTCTCTGTGTGTGAAGGATGTTTTGTAAATGTGTTCCTGGAGTTCCTGTGTGTATACTGACCACAGTACTTTTCTATATAATTTCTCTCTCTCTCTCTTTCTTTACATCTCTCTCTCTCTCTCTCTCTCTCTCTCTCTCTCTCTCTCTCTCTCT